TCTCTATAATAACTATTTTCTGATTAGTCGACGATTACGAATACGACACCGAGCATTACACTGTGATTGGCTGTTCAAGGTCACTTTTTGAAGTACTAACTGACTGAGCAATCAAGCTATAGGCCTCTAAATAAAGATAAATTTCACACAGAAAAGAGGATACCATTAATTAAAGGTAATTAAAAATACAACTAGTAGAGTCGAGAAATGAAAGGCAAACTGGGAGGAAAAGCCCTAATATCCAATGCTTATTGAAAGTCATTTGACTATCTGAGATAGCCGTTGGTTCGCCCGACTAGTACTTATATATGGGGTGATGATTGAAGGTGAGATGAAAATCTGAAAGCCTGAGAAATAGTTTATCTTATAGATGGATAGATACACACATACAGTGCAAAAAGTGTATTACAAACATTGATAGTGAAGTGAAACAAAAAAAGCTAACAAATAAGTGAATGGACAGTGTTGTTAATTTTTAAGATAACAAGTGAGTGAACCACTTGAGCACACACATACACACGTCTATAAAATAAGCAATGTTATGAAAAAAATATACACATATAGACAGATAAAAAAAATTTCTATTACCGAATGAAGATAAACACATCGAGTGTGTGACCTACCAAATCCACTTGTCTCATAATCTGGGTTACTTGTAGGATATTCGTCTACATATTTTGAGTAATTTGAGAAAATGAAACATATATATACGTGTTTTTAAAGCATATTTATGAAGCAAATTTTCGATCATATCCAGCATAAAATGGATAGATTATATTATTGTTGTAATCTGCAATACTTCAGTAATATGTACCCATAATTCGTTTATCACTTAAACAAGTGACTGCCTCTTAGGGAAGAGATGTTAATCTTTGTGAACCACTATAGATGGCAGATTTAGGGGGATTTCGAACTCAGTTTGTCCGTTACCACAGATACCAAGGTATCTAAACTGAACTAGCAGTGAAACAATGTACCCCGATAAATCATAGAGTGAATAAAGATCACTAATATGCAGAAATAAATACGCATAATAAAAAACCCAATCAGCTAGATAATATGCTTAAGTTTTTTAGAGTACACTTCCAAAGAAATAAAATATTATTGTAGATAAATAGTTTTGGTGTTAGCTTTGATTGCTACAAGTAAACAATCAGGAAATATAAACATTCTTAAATGAGATGTTCCAAAGAGTAAACGATTAAAAATGATGAATATTACTCATGATTATGCATTCTGTAGTGGTTAATAGAGAAAACTAGGAGGTGTAAGGACCAACAGGTGGATGAATATACTTGCATTCGTGTAAGTATTCCCATTCAAGGTCAAGTTAAGCATTCATAACTTCGAATGCTTTACGCAAAGCACAACTTGCTTTTCATTGGAATTGTTTATCTTCGGTATTCACAATTTACTTGATTGAAAAGTTATCAGTCCTTCCCGTCATAAAAGTGCTTTGTATCCATGCCTCTATATGGTGATCAGTAGTGAAATTCAACATGAGCAGTTTATTTCAGATGTGGTAAATTCCACTGGTAACCAACTGATATCGAGGTATTGGCACAAGGATTCTACGTAACAATATAAACTAATCGACTCAGTACTCTTCATTGCAAAAAGAGACGACCGAAAATCCTAATGAGCATAATTCTTATTGATTTATTTTGTCCAATCATTCTTTTCACTTCAAATTAACCTTTAATGCCTAAAGTAAAAGAATAAAGTTTAGTGGAGGTAGAAACTCCAAAACACATTACTGAACCATTATTCACTGTTGTGCAAATCACAAGTTCTTGACCTTAGTAAACTTTGAAACAAGTAATTCACTCCGTTTAAAGGAATATCATAACTTCATTTTTAGGGGGATTCATTAACCATCAATCTAGTAAGGAAATATTGTTGCCAACCTTTATAAAATGCACAGATTCATATGGTCTCATCAGTCAATGTAGGTTAATCGAACTACTATAACATGATACGTTGACTTGGATGTTACGGATCAGTCGGCAGAAAATCCTGCTCAGTCCATATGTGTCTACCGACCAGTGACCAATCCTGATAAATACCGCAACATGTCAGTCATGACCTGAGTAGCTAGGCCTTGTGAATCCAGCACTCGGTGGTACAATCAGAATCCCCAAAAGAGGCCGAATCATACCAAGGTTGCAGATATATCCTGCCTAAAAATTGTTAATAGGTATGAAACCTAGGTCAAGCAGATTTTTCTGTTGATTTACACTAAAAACGCATATCTCAGCATCACATCACTAAGCTTGATGACCACACTGGGAATTTGGTTAGTAGACTTCCATTAGTACTTAAGACCGGATAGTTACATCGGTTACCATCATTTGATGACCTATTTGTCTATCATAGACTGTTCATTGTATGTTTTTATTGACAAAGCAACTATATAAGCACAGCTGATAAGAAATTAGTAGTACTGTGTCACTTACTATTTGATTTCCCAGCTAGATAACCAAATGATTTGTGTAGAAAACATAACATTACTGTTAGGTATTGAAGAGACTTAGTCACACATAAGATACTTTGTACAACACAACGACATCCATAGTAAAACAAATGGATATCAGAAAGAAATAAAATAACTATGAAACAGCCACCCTGTACTAGTTTGCGACCTATAGACAAAACACATTATATATTCCCTCCAAAAAATTTAACCCAGAATCGTTTTGTTTCAATTTAAATAGTTTTATAAACTAGTGAAGTGGGCGCTAAATAATAGCGCTTGTCACCAGAACACTTGAATACACTACAGCTCCATCATACATGTAATGATAATGAATAACAGAGAAGACGAAGTTTGTCTGAACAATGTGATGTATTTGCGCAATACATTTAAAACAATCTCATCCCTCACACATTTACTTGTCAAGTCAATATATATTAAACCGAGGAGTGGGGGGACAAATACAACAATTAACACAATAAGGGATTAAATTTAAGAAAGATGAGAACAAACAGGAAGTGATATAGTTGATCCTAATCTTGGTAAGAAAACAAAGTGTACTAAGGTAGGTGTAGTGTAAGAACAAACTGTTTTTGTACACATAAACGTGGTTTAAATTAGTGTATGGCTATGGCTTCCGCAAATCTCAGAATATGTCCCTGACTGTTTCTATATAAAACTTTGAAAGCTGTTTGAACATTAACTTTGTGACCTTTTTCTATGATATGTTTAGCTTTAGATGAAGAGGGTCGTTTCCACCAGTGTTTATCACTGTTTCACACTCTATTTGTTTTGAAGCCATTTAGGCACATGTTCTCCCACCCTCAACTGCATAACTCCATAACTCCTCCCTATGTGTGACCACACACGCATGTAAATTAGTAAACACAACAGAATGTGACGTAATCATTGATGCAGTGTTTAGGTTTTGATGAAGCATGTGTTTTTGTTTTCTCCACAATGATAAGATTCGCCGCGTAATATGTTTTCTTAATGGATGGTGTCAGCCTACATCTCAAAATGATACCATTCAGCTCCCCTCTGTATGGTAGAGTGGTATGGACATTTTTCTTAAGGACGGGGTATAGAGTTGGCTTTGGTGCTACTTGATCTCTACAACGGTTTATAAACTTCGTCGGATATCCATTTTCCATAAATGCTTTGCTCAGTAATTTGATGTCTTCATCCATCGCATCTGGTGTACTGATACGATAGATCCTACTAAACAGGCATTTTATTAGACCTCGCTTGTATTGGATTGGACATAAACTGTGAAAATTCAGGTATTGTCCTGTCCATGTAGGCTTTCTGTAAACTGAACGTCTTATTGAACCATCTTCTCGTCGACTGAGAAGTATATCTAGGAATGGCAGTTGATTATTGTTCTCTTTCTCAAGTCAGGCTGATGAGAGTTTGTACGGCGTCAAGTCTATCTAGTAGACAAGCCATATCCTGATGCCTCTCACAAACCACTATGATGCCATCAACATATCTCTCTTTTTAAAGAGGAACTTTAGCGATGAGATCACCAGCCAGATTTTCGATATATGACATATAAATATCAACTAGTAGTGGTCTTAATGGACTACTCATAGCTACACCGTCAACTTGTCGAAAGCGTTTACCTTCAAGTGTGAAGTGGACTTTGTCGGTACACAACAATAATAGCTCCTTCAGAAAGGTTGGAGTAATAGGAAATGGAATAACAGAGAGACAAAACGGAACAATATAGTTTGGGACAACAGAATATCATTTCAAATGATCATAGTTTACATAAGCATACAAAAAGAGAATAAATAAAAGTGTAAAATAATGATGTCAGTGGAGATAGAAGACAGAAGAAAATTGCAAATAAAAACCAGATAGGCCAACCACCTGTATTTGTGACAATATGACTAATTTCTTAAGTTGGATCACCGAAAATCGGTAACAATTCATTTTGGCTGGCACCATGGACCTGCAGTAAAGAAGTCCACATCCTTATTAAACGGCTTAGACTTGTCCTACAGTGACGGAAAAAACTATCATCTGAGTAACGTAGTCTCTTAATCTAAGTTCATCAATACTCCTAAGACGTAACAACTGTACTAGATAACTTGAAGTTGTAGCATATTGTATTTTATATTCCAAGCTTTAGAGACAATCAATCAAAAGCCTCAGAGGATGGTTTCAAAAATAAGGTATACTCCTTTTTTGATAGTTCAGTAGTAGATTCTAAAAGTTTTAACCACTTCTGATGAACACCGAAGTGTACTTTTCATCAACTGATAACAAACCATTCAACACGAAAATTGTGAAAAAATGAAAATTAAATTTGATTAATGACTAATGCACCTCAATCTGTTACAGGTTATGAGCCACACTAATTGTGCGTGAAGGTATATGGTAATATCCAACTGCCCAGATTGAAGAGAGTGTAGTCCGATTTAAACCCATGACCCAATGCTTAAACGTTAAACACCTATGCCAAGTAACATAATAGGAATTTACATTCATCTATATAGTATGATTTGTATATTGTACTTACCAGGTAAATCATCCTCCATGATTGGAAAAGTATCCACCTCTGAATGACTCGGCATTTCATCGAAGCCGAAGCCTCCACTATAAAAAAAAATGGTAAAATGAATATACAATAAGTGGTTCAAACTCCAGTATGACTGTCTCTAGAATTGCTGATAGAGACCTAAGTTATGCATCCAAACACAGAATCTAAGATATATATATATATATATATATAATTCCACTTAACTACACTGTTCAAATCATTTCCATTAAAATAAGATTTGAAATGAACAGTCACTCAGGTAGCCAATATCAAAAGCAAACCCTGTGTTACAACTGCATTACGATCCATATTACCAAACCTCGTATCAGAACACCAAAGTAAGTAATGTAATAAACAGTTTTAAGATGGATCAAGCAAACAACGAAATGTGATATAATAGTCACGCTGAAGACAAGATATAGATCCATCTGTGCCACTGAGATCAATTCTCAGCTATATCACCTACAGTCTAAAACCATCAATTCCGCTTGTCATGCCGACTCCAACCAAGAAGTTGATATTTCACTGGACAACTTAGATTGATGATCATGGACTTAGTTTGGCCAACCTTAGCTGTTTTCCAATCTAACCCTTAGCTAATTCAGCTAACATTGGCGATTCAGAGTAGACAGTGATTCCGTGTGCGTAGCACATTTTCCAGACACCATCAATATCTTGGACCACTGAACTTAGCCGAATTATCATCTACTTGATGCTAACAAAAAAGGTTTGTCATACGTACTGAGTTTTTGGAACTGAAAAGTGTACAGATGACAAAATAAAATGAATCCTGTCTTATCAAACTATCCTTTCACCGAAAGGGTAGGTTCATTATCTTTAGAACAGACAAATTCAATAGATTAGTGTACATTCAGTGAATTTAATGAACGAATGCAAGTTTTAACCCGTTTTGGTTGCTTTTTAGATTAATGTGACTCACAAATCAAAAGAAAACACTTGAACAAGATCTAGTATACAAGTTTAAATATATTATTTTAAAAAAACATGATTTCTTAGGGTTAATTTCTGCTTTGAACAGTTTCTGTGACACAGAAACACATAGATACAAAAATAAACAGTTATTCATCACCTATTCAGAGAAATTCAATAATGTACTTACCTAGTTGCATCATAACCAGTGTCTGAAGGTTGTGAATAAATGGCTAGTATGAACAAAACAAAGTTAAAAACATACAATTAACCTGTTTAATACATGATTACATAATAACAAATATGCATATATGTATCTAGTGGTCTGCTTAAACCTTGGGCTACTAAAGATTTTTCAAGAATATGTTACATCAAATTGTCCTCTCTCAATTTTTAGTCTTTTCAGTATGTCTCTAAACGTATTATGCTTCTAGATGGATATCACGAAATCCTAATGAGAAAATGTGACCTGTGAGGTCAACCAGTCGAAAGGAGAGCGGATACCAACTGAAGACCTTGGGTAGTACTCAAGCTATATAGCGAACTGACAGAAGTAGGACTGCAATTCAGTGGCTGAATGGTTAATGCGTTTGCCGTAAAATCTGAAGGTCCTGAGCCCGATCCCAGGCGAGGTTGTGGGTGAGTACTGCTGAGGGATCCCATACCAGGATGAAACAGATGTTCAGTGTTCCAAGGTTTTCAATGGTTCTCCAAGGGATATCAGTCTATGATGAGTGCTACCTTAAAAATAGATCCCCACTAACCTCAAAATACATCTGAGTGTTTATTATCATTATACTTCTACAGAAAAGGAAATTATCTTTTTCTCGTTTGATATTAATTTATAGATGAGGATAAAAAAGATGAATTCTGAAGAAATGTTATGCATTGCGCACATTCGTGCAATAGGCAATGAGCCACACCTATTGTGACGACCAATGATACTATATGGCTGCCAAGACCTTGGTAGGTGGAGCACGGCTCGAACCCATGACCCATCGGTTGAAAGTCACCTCCATAAACCAATGAGTCACAGCTCCACAAAAATTCAAAACCTACATCAAACAAAGCTTCCTGATAACTACTTTCAATCACCTAACGTTATATAGAATTGAAGATCTTTCTATGCGGCATTCTAGTGGACTAATGGATGGGAATCACCACTAACCGGTTGTACAAAGAATGAAGAGAAAATCTATTGCATCGAGTTTAAAACTCGATAGTGACCATGAATTAAAAGAATTCATATGCAAAAATACTCTTCAAGACATCTAAGAAAGATATTTCACACGTTAGTTTGCGAATCAAATTTTATGTAAGACAGTTGATTAGACGCTGCGCATTAAACTGAATAATTTACCCATTTCAGTCAATAATAACAATTTTTAGAAGCATCATATTTACAAAAAGTCACGTGCATAAGTGTATTTTAGATTATAGTTCATTCTCGCTACCAAAGAAAAGAAAGTTGGTCAGGAACTGCACGACTCAGCAGGTTAGTTACGTTTGGACAAATGGGCGTCGGGTTCATTTTGTAACAGGAACACTACCACTTACTAGAATGCGGATATATCCGGCTGTTGGGTCCAAAACAGGAGGAAATACACGCTCTGGATTCCACCACTACCATCATCAAGCAAATTATAAGTCATACTATCTCTAAAAGACAGTATACCCACTCCACAGTATGGTATCCAGCATCCTTCTTATGCTATGCAGACCTATTCTGAAGTAGATAATATTGCGATCAATTACAGAAACTTTGACAGCAAAGAGAATTTCCTTTCCTTCTGGATTATGACTACGATAATGTGTACCATACGCATCTTGCACTTTGGTGATTAAAAAAATCCACCTCCTAGACGGTTCGATGCAGACCAAGGCATTGCGCCTAAATATTCTAATCAGATAACACAGCTGAAGGTTAACTTTCGATTTATCAGGAATCATAAGCAAGCCCTACCAACACGTAGAAGCAGACATGAAAATGGCGAAGAAACCTGCTTGTGGTTCAGGAAGAGGTCTTACTACTGGAAACTGAAACTTTAGAATATTAGATACTGAGATTCATCGAGTCTTCCTGTCCGGAGTCACATCACGCCTAAGCAAGAACGATGACGTCTGACGATCAGAGAGAGCAACAGAGATGGGGGCGACAGTCACACTTGCCATATACTGGAAGTTGTTCCAGTTCATCGAAGTTGTTGGCAGTAAGAAGTGAGACAATCCATGAGGTAAACGAAATATCAACGAAGAGCTTCAAAGACATCAAGATTTCTCGGCGTAACATTTCAGCGGGCAATTTGGAGCTACACAATATGTATGGAAATCACCAAAGCATTGGTCTGTAACCAATTAAGCCCAAAATACTGGTTCTTGTAGTACATCTTAAACTGCAGAATGCGCTTATAGATGGTTTATGAGGGGCAGGTCATGTTCCACTCAAGTTAAGGATAGATTAAGCATAAGTTCATCCTCTGCCAAATTTTTGAAAGATATCATAAATACTACAGATCAACAACTACGGCTTTATTGGTATTAGGAATAACTTATACTCTTCGCACGGGATTCAGTTACAGAATTGTCTACTAAACGGGGATATCTCTTAGAAGTGTAGTAACACCCAGAGTCATGAAAAAATACCTCCATTATGAGACATTCTTCATAATTTCTAAAGCCTTTTTGAATAAGTTCGATATTGTTCAAATCGACTTTGTAACCTGAAATTATGACATGTAGAGTTATTTCAGAAATATTTTCAAGCTTTTCAGCTCCACTAGATTTCTAAGGGGTCGGGTAGAAGCTCTTTAGTTTTCAGTTTTTCTAATTTTGATTTCATGAGAAGTTTGCCCTATATATTGCATCACAGTTTGAGTATTTTATTTTATAATCACAATCAGATTGTGGATCCAAAATGGATCCTTTCCTTCAAATAAACTAAAGTGCTCTGCAATGTGTTTAATGTTTTGCAGAACACTCTAGTACTGTATTTGTTGAGTACTCTCCTAATCTCATCTGATGTGTGTGATATGCATGGATGATTATTATTGAACCCCATGACTTAAGAGTAGTTTGACGATCTAATTTAGTGTTATTTTCTATTTTTCGAATGAGTTCCACCGGATAGTTATTCATTTTGAGCATCATGCTTACATAATTTAATTCGTTAACTCTCATTTTTGAAAAAGACATGTAGGCGAACAACATTGTTTTCGATTAGATCTTAACAAGTTTCACTCTAACATACATAATTTTTATCATACTTTCAATTTCATCCGTTATCAGAGTGCATGCCCTCCTTAGAAGACTGGAGGCATGAATTTTCAACTCAGTACACCTAGGCAGTAATATCACAAAACATCTAGATTGATGAGAAGGATGAAAATAATGCCGATAATAATAACAGTAATCATATCTGAACAAGATATTTTTTTTCCATTGTACAACGAATTGTATAAAATTCTACCCACATTATGAATACAGGACTTTCTTTTGTTTTCACTTCCCTTTGAAAATGAAAATTCATGCTGCAACATGCAACACATTAAATAATGAGCCACACCTACTATGCAGAAAACTAACAACAGATAATCGCTTAATTACTAGCCTACATAGTCGTTTCCAAAATCTACATGCTTCAGTAGTTGAAGGCAATTTCTAAGGTTACCCTGTTTGACTTTACATTCTTCTTGATGATTAACAGTGGAATCTGGGATAAGCGTTTCGTTCTGATCAGAACTCGTTTGTTAAATGCACCTGCACGCTCATGAGTGATATTCTTTCCACTGAGACTGGAACCCAGTACCCATCATTCCAGATACCAAAGCATTACTTGCAAGGCCGCCGAGACACAAGAGTGACTTATCGTACCCTATATGACTTGAATTATAGGCTTATCGACACTCACTATCAAAAAGGTATTGCGGCTCAGTAGTATATAATCTGAGCCAAACATTCTTTACACATATTTACGATACTACCCAGTTACAAGGTCAAAATAGATGAATCGAGTCTATTCCAACCTAGTAGTTAATATTCAGAAAACCACTCGTCATTGAGATATTAGTTTACAATTTGATGGCTGATATTTTCGATCTATATAATAATAGAACAATTATTCAAGATCACACAAGTGCTACATTTAACAGGTAGAGTAGGATATACGAAAGTGCTGCAGTTGGATATCTTACGGGGACCACAAATGACTTCTCTATTAATCCTGAAAGTTTCTCATTACAAGAAGTGAATTGTGAGACATGTCAAGTGTTCATCCATTTTGCATCTATTTTGTCGGTAAGAATTTTCTCTTATCATCAACTCGACTGAATGTAAACATGACACAAATAGTACGACTTATTAACTTCGTATATGCTTATGTATTAATCTAGGTGTACGCCATGCATGTTATGTTAGCGTTAATGGTATATCTTGGTATCTGAACCCTAGAGAGTGGGGTGAACTTCCAATCCCTAACTCTAGCCAGAAGTAACCGATTACCTTTGAATATAACTGGAAAAAGACCCTTCTTATTGATCGAATCCACAAGGACTACCATACTAATATCGTACATAACATTCTTGTATGTGTAAATATTTCACGACACATATATATTTGAACACTTACAAGTTTCTTTTTCAACTTCAGTGGAGCCAATCAATTTAAATTGAGGTGAACCAATTGATAATTTACGCAATGTATTTTTGTTGTTCCCATTGTTATTATGACTATTGTTAGTATTGTTCTGTTGACTGACAAATTTTATCTGTTCTGTTAATTCAACATTAGAGCGTATCAATTCATTTAAACGTTCATGTAGACGACTCTCTTCTTTCTTCCATTCTTGTTCTTTGGCTTCCAAACGTGAAACTAAATGTTTGTGGGATAAAAGGGTGGATAATAAAGAAAAGCTGACATTAGGATGTATTTTATCAATTCATGGATTCATTTCAAGTGAACTCAGAACTTTAAAAGCGCCTGAATAGTTAAATACTCACAGCGTTTTCATATCACTTACCTTCAATAATAATATTTTGTAACAGAGAGAAAGTTTATGCTATATAACTGACTTCCTACGGAAGTGCAGACAACTCGACAATACTAAAATCTCGAATGGATGAATGAAGCCTATTTACGTTGTGAGGTCACATGACACTTACAAATAAGTGGTACACAACATTCCCTTTTCCAAATAATCGATGAAGATCTAACACTCAAGTTTTTATGTATTTTTCAAACCAAGAGTTGTGGTATGTCATGTCATATCGTGTGAAAAGTTGGCAGTTCGACCTCAACTTTGCTGATGGATGGTAACATGCTTGCACTACAAACTGACAGACCTAAGCTCCCTCCAACATGGGCTTATAAGTTTTCACTGCTAAGGAGATCCAAACTACAACTGAACAGTCGTTTAGAACACCCTTACTTTCAATGGTTAGTCACCTTTAGGCGTTAATTTAAACTGAAATTCAGAATTCCTGTTGGATTACATTCAGTGGACTATATCCTGTTTAATATGCACAAAAGCCAAGATAACCTAATCAACAGCACAAACTACGTACCATAATATTGAAGAATTATTTCCAGGAAATTTCATATTATGTACGAAAGAGAAACTGGAAAGCAGAGCTCATTTAATCTTAATTCATATAACGGATCAACAGTATTATTGTGAGACAGGTTACAAACCATTCTGATTCAACTATAAAATTCCAGGCATTATATTTTGAGGTTAATAGAGATTTTATTTTTAAGGCAGTATTCATCATACTGGTTAACGCATTCACCGTGAAACATGAAAGTCATGAGTTCGATCCCTGGTGGGGCGAGATTGTGAATGCATATTGCTGAGGAGTCCCATATTGGGACGAAATAGCTATTCGGTGCTCCCAAGTTTTTAATGGTTCTCCAACTGATGTCAGTCCGACACGAATACTACCTTAATAATTATATTTATCGTTTAATTAGGTTTAAAATAAGTAACAGAATATTAGAATATGACTTCTATGCCTTTTACTCTTCATATCACAATAGTTTAACGCAAAAAGCTTTACAAACACTATCGGTTTCAATTAACTAAGACTACTTGAGATAGCCATAGTTTGGGATAGTCTCTAGATTAATGAAAGAGGAATCCCACTAACTGAATTATAAGACTCAGTTGCCGATCACGTTTTAATTTAAATTCAATCATCAAAGGTCTAGAGATTACTGGTCGTTTGAATGAGTAGCACATAACTCGCCATTCATCAATGCACTAAATGAAACGTAACAAATGAAGGTCGTGAACCGATCATATGAGAACACTATATGATTTGAAAAAAGAAAGAAAAGAAATATATCCAATTACGTGTGATATGACAGTTTTCATATTGACTTCCTTTTTCTAGGTCTAATCAGTAGACTTATACATGATTCAAGTGAGTATATTTTCTCTACATTTCTACATGTGGCTAGTAACGAGGTGTACTTTAGGAAATAATCCCTAGGTTTTATGTAAACAACCAAATAGTTACTAGCCACATGATTACATAGTGAAATAATGGCTCCACTTTTATTTCTTAGTTAACCACTGACAATTGTAAGCTTCCTTTAAAACCATTCGTTTCGCATACAAGTCTTGTTAACATATGACTAAATTAAATTTAACCCTAGAAAGTTTGTATGGAATTTTTAGAAAGTTATACAGTTTTTCAAAGTGAGTTTGTCCTATTTGTTATACCAACGCTTTTTATACGAAATTCAAAACTCATACTACAAGTCATAAGCAATACTTCACAAACAAAAACAATCTTAAGAACGTGTCATCAACATGGGCTCTATATTGTTTTTTTGCCTGAAGGAAATGAATAAGAAAAATTTTGCTAACACTGAAGGATTCCAGTGCTAATTTAAAATGAGACGTCATGAATGAACAGAAAACGAATGTTTACTGTATTTATTTGAGAAGAGATGTATTAGGCGAAGGAGCGTTGACTCAATAGATTTTCAGTTACTTCACTAAATGCAGTATATAACAAAACCCAAATAATACTGTTCAGAAGTCGATTCACTACCTAAAGTATGGCCACTTGAGATCAGCTACATGTCTTTTGCAATGGTAGCGGTAGGGCAAATAATGGAATTTCAGGTCAGCTGACTGACTGACTACTAACAAAGTCAATGTGGAACCCCGCAACACAGGTGCATCACCTCAAGTTACCACACTTCACAGTAGTATACAAAGAACAAGTGGATAGAAAATGAGTGAAATCAAGGTAGATAAAGTTGTGTGAGAGAATAAGCAATTTAAGGATAACGGTTAATGTGAATATTTAAGCTTGAGAAAATGTCAACGAGTGAATACATCTATCCCATTGTGGCGGATTTTCAGCGATGCCACCAAGAGTCCTCAACCAATGATTCCTTTTGTCTCAAGGACACCCGTGATCAAAACCATGTAATCGCTTCATGTCTATTTTTAACGAGTATGTGTCACAGCCGAAAAACAGGACAGGATGAACTTCAGCGCTATATACTTTTCCTTTAATAGATAGTCGGATATTTCACCAGTCGGCGCCATAGGTCACACAAGTTGGCAAATGCCAGACGGGCTTTTTGCATCCAAGCTGAGATTTCATCAGCAACCAATTTATTCGCGCTGATACAACTCACAAAGTAAGTGAAGTTGTAGACACACTCCACCACTTCACTCCCTATCATTAAGTTGGTAGTACTCGGAGTAGACCACTCTTGGAGCATTATCTTACATTTAGCAGATGAGAAATGCATGCCAAACATACTCAAATTTTAGCTCAACGTCTTTAGAAGACCATGAATTGCGTTAGCGTCTCCATCTAGCGTCTGCATCTAGTAGGACAATATCGTCTGGATAAACATCATCATCAAAATCAACATAGGACCAGGTATCACTGCGTAACGGTCCAAGTGGCCTCACCTTACATCAGCACATCAAGTGACAAGGCAATGAAATGGAAGAAAGAAAGAAAAATGAGCCAGAAGAAGTATGAAGTGGTGGAAAAGAGGAAGGAGGAATGAGAAAATCATGAGATTAAGTATAGCGGTTAAGATGAGGATAATGTGTGTATACGTTCGCGCTACTGACATCGATTCTCAGTTATATCACCAACAGTCTCCAACCACTGGTTTCTCTTTTTTTTTATGGACCCCGACCGGCACAAACGAACAGTCAAGGAGTTCATGCATTGATGCTATTTTTCAGTCTGGCTGCCCTGAGCCTCTTTTCAGCTTGAACCTACTTCGGCCAACATTGTGAAGAGGCAGACAGTGGCTAGGCATACTTAACACATTTCCCAGCCATCTTAGTCGATGAAGGTTTACAACCGTATCAAATGACTAACCTCTCCTCCCTAAAACTCTAAACCTGACTTCTGCGTTACGCACGTAGTGACATCGCGAAACACGGCCTCTGCTACGAAGGCAACGGCGGTCGAACACCTAAAGTCTTCTCATATCTTCTACCTTTAATGGTCATATGTCTTCTGTAGACCCCAAGTCAACCAGATGGCCTCAAGGGAGTAAGTCAATCCCTGTGAAGTCAGATGTACCTAAGTTTATGTCCATTAGTATGTTCATAACGAAGTTAAATAGGAACTGTGACAGTGGACATCCCTGGCAGATACCATTAGTTGTCGTCAATTCACATGACAACTCTGCAGAGGCAAACTGTTGAATCCCGCTGCTTTCCATCGTTTCAGGTTCGATATAGCGTTGTCAACTTCAAGGAGAGTTGGAGGACCGACATCTACGTCCCATTCAGGTTCATGTTGGATGCTGGCCAACTGGAATGTAGCTGACGGCCAGTTAAACAATGTTTCAAATTGTTCTGCCCAACATTCTAGCCGCCCGTCCTGGGAGGTTATCAGAGTCCCATCCTTTTCGCTGGTGGTTGCACTCACTATCTTCATCTTCTTGCCGGTATCCTTAATAAGCCTAAATAGTTGCCGAGTTTTGCCCAACACCGATGCCTTCTCGATCTCGCCACCCAACACTGGTCGCGATCGACCCGAAGACTCTTGCTCAACTTACGTTTAAGTTGCTCTCGCTCTTTGTCGTAGTCAGAGCCAGCTGGCATCAGTCTTCTTGCATCAATCAGTTCAGATGACGTTGCGGAAATCCAATGACGTTTGTCAACCTTAGGGCGTAGGTTTAACCATTGTCTTTACCGCTGTTTCTACAGCAGACTTAATGCCACCCCAGGGTGAGCATTGCTGTCATGTTCAGAAAAATGCTTAGCTATCTCTTCCTTAAATTCTGGTCAGCAGGTAAACTTAGGTCATTTATTTAATAGTTTATAGAAAAACAGTTAAAAATGATCGAATTCCTAGGTGAAAATTCAGCCACTCATTTAGTTTCTGAGTTTCTGATACGAAATATTAATTCAACTACCAGTAACACCTCCAATACAGTGCAGCCTCTATGAAGCATCAATTTACTTTGATGCAACGTGACTAATCATAATTATTTTTCTTATCCTGTAATATCACAAATATACAGTAAGAACGATTCTAGGAGTAACTTTTTAAGCATCAAAACAATCATTATGCAACAGCATTAATACAAAAATAGGAAGTAAAAGAACGCAAGAAAAATAGACAAACAAACCTTGGTCTTTAGCTAATTGTAGTTTCAACTCCATTTGTCGACAAGATGTAGACAACGTTTCATTTTTGGCATCGTTCGCCTTCCTTTCTTCATCGAAGGCATCTTCAGCATGCAGTAAGCGCTAAATCAATGGAATACAATTAGAAAACTTTAATGTAGAAAAGGAAATTTAGTAAACAATCTCATAAAATATTAGGCTTTGAGACCGTCAGCAGTCAAACTGTAAGCAAACATATTAGCAAAATGCTTGGTTCACAACAAAAGGAATGCAACAAAATCTTTTATTACGCTGAAAGTGTAATCAATCTCAGCAGAGATACATTAGACCATAATTCAACTTATACGACCATACCACTACTTATAATACATGGGGAAATACTACGATGTTTATTGGTGAACAAGAATATGATGAAATTGCACCACTTTGTAGTGTGGACTAGGGTATGAACATATGTTGTACCCTAGCTACTACTTGCATGTATTTCTTGAAGTTTTTCTGATAACCTAAGGATTAAACTCATGTTTCATATGCTTGGAGGTTCGAGTTTTGTGGTAATGCCAGGCAATAAGGAGTCAGAAAAAAACCCACAAATGGCTCATATCCTCATGTACACTAAACGCGATTACACTGTTATGTGCATGAATTCAATGAACTGAGAGAACCAAATCTCCAACAAACAAAAACAAGTAAGTTATAGGACTACAATTTTGAAATGTTAAATAGACCAAGTAAACACTTTCCTGGTGAAAACAAACGAATAGCCGGTTTGAAGTCCAAAACAAACACCAAGAAGGTACACACGAATAAAAATCCACTCAGCAAACCTGTGTACATTCGTGAAGTAGACAATGAGCCACACCTATTGTGTGAGGGCTAATGATACTGCCTGGTTGCTCAAAACTCGGTAGATGCAGCTGGGTTTTAAACCCATATCCATTCGGTTGGATATCAAGTGCTAAACTAAGGAGCTACAACTCCATTGGAGGAAAACTAGGCCTTGAAAATAGCAACTGAAGAAAAGTATGTCCAAGAAGACACTGACAGTTGAGTACTGTTGAGATTTTGGTAAGTATAAGCTGGAATCAAATGATAGTTTCTCAACTTCGATATTCGTATTTAACCTGAAAATTGAATGTTGACTAGTGTGTCCCAACCAGTTGTACTTTATTCCTTTCTCTTTCCAAACGTCGTCAAGATATGATTATAAATTGGTTATTCTAATGCCAATGGTGATTCTATAACAATCCTAACTTGCAAGACTTGAATGCTTCCATTAATCTATAGTCCCAATACTTTACTAGTGAACTTGAGTGTCTGCACTGCTTGGATTTTAATCACTTAATTTAACTACTGTAATATTATGAATTTACTCACCAATTCAGATTGTTTACGAGCGGCCTTCTCAGCAGTAAGTTGATCGAAGACATGTTCATTTTCCTCCCGCAAATGACCCACTTCAGCATGGTATGCAGCTTGATCTTTGTACAAATCATCCAAATTCTCCAAAAGACCAATTATTAGTGGCATCAAGCGTTCCACAACTGGTAAGCCATAAGCTTCAATCATAGTTTCAAACTCTCTATATATCCCGGAGGCTATACGCTGAACACGTTCAGACATAACCACTGATACAGGCGAATCACGACCTGCTGAAGATAAATAGATATCGTCAATGTCTCCGAAAGGAGGATTTATGTCGAATAGTTTTCTCTTGTCTAGTCCACTTTCTCCATTTGTAATGTTTTCATGTACTATTGGTGCTTTGGGAGGATAAGACATTTTAATCCAGCAGAAATAAACAGCGATAGTAATCTGAAGACAGATATTCCAACTTGATAAGCCTGAAAAAAGTAATAGATAACTCCATTACGTAATAGGCCAGAAAAGAAAAAGCCAATGCAGCACACCGACCAGAAGTAACTATGCAACGCTCTCAATCACCAACAGGAATGACGCAAAATGTTTTTAGAGCGTAGAGATCAAATATTCGATAATTTATACGGATATGAGCAAATATATCCACAGTATACAAAATAAATGGCTAGTATATCAGTGCTATAAAACACACAATTCTGAATTCTTCCAAAGCTACCTTAACTGATCAAAGAATAATTCAGTCCCTATACAACATTTAATTAACCTAGAGTATGTAGGCAAAATATATAGAGGCCAATGTTAAAATCAGATGTAATTTTTGGTAAACAGGGTGAATCAGTCAACCAGCTTGAAAAAATGCATTGAGTTAGTTGGTTGCGATGCTACACAAAGACTGATGCAATGCTTGCTGAAGAAACACGTATGTATATACATATGTATATGCATATATACACATATCTCGATTAGCTGCTGACAAGCTGTTCTAAAGAAAAGCCGTTTAAAAAAAATTCAGTTCACTATTATCGCAGCGACATATGGCTTGCACTTATCCATTAAGGATACGGAATAGGCCGAAACAATCAACTGATTTCATATCATTCTAACACAGCTACCTCTACACCGACTAGACTCAATATTGTCTCTCTACTACACGTCATACCTCTCCCATTAACATTCCGCTAATATTACTATTTCTACTTCCGCTACGCCTACTAAAACCTTCCCTGCTTCTTTCTCTTAGACTCTGAAACTTCACTTAATTCATTAAGGTTCTTTCCCGTCTCCCCTGAATTTAACCAAGTTTTTTTTCGATTCATTTTACCTCCTTTACTTTTGTCTTTCTCATCCCTCCTACCTCGTTCTTCTTAGTTATCTTTTCATTCTCATCTTTCTTTCACGACCGGTTCGAAAAACTATCTACCGACTCGACATTTGGAGAAACCAGCTGCACCATAGCACAGAACAAATCATACAACTCCATACAAATGTAATCAACACCCACCCACCCGTCAGGTTTACTAAAGCTATAGCAGGCGAGTAAGTGGGCCTCCTTGATCGGACTCAACAAAACACCTGGGACTGTTCAGCAAGACGCACAAACGAGTGTGAAGGCATAAACTGGTTTATACTAGCTCAGAAAAGAGATATTTGAATCGAGGCTTGAAGGAGCGAGCTACATCACCTACTAAGCTTATCGTTGCTGGAGTCCAAATGAAATAAGACGCTTTTCATGGAAAACCACTTTTCCATTAACAGCAAAATCAAATTTTACTCCGACACAGCAAGCAGCCACTAAGAGAAAATCAGTTTTGTACTCCGATACACTATCAACCAAGGATGCACTACGAAAACAGAAGTAACAAAAAAGAAATTTTTAGCTAACAGTCTAGGAAATCACTACAACATCAATGGTGTCTTTGATTACACAAGACTGTACATACGACACACCTGAACTGCTCGTTTGGCTTAGAGCCACTGACCAAAACGTGTTTGTGACACGTTATGATTAGACACTAGTACGTAGTGCAGTTTAATAATCCCAGTTTCATAGGCTATACTGAATCACTTAAACCTGAAAAGAATAAACCAACACTCCAGAAATCCCAGCTAACACTTAACTCGGGAGTGCCTTGGGAGTTTTGGGCAAAAACCCTAAAATGACATCAGGATCCACCTAGGGTTGTGCAATATATTCCTAAGAAAACACAGTTTCCCACGAATTTATCAAAAGTTGTTACGTTTTCAATGTCTTGGCATTGCACTTGAAGTGATCACGATGCATTTTACGATGTGCTGAGGCATTTTCAACAGAACTAACAGCAAATTTATGGGATTACCACCAAGGATGCCTGAAGAGTGTTTAGGATAATGTCTAAAGCTTCCAAAGTGCACCCCAACCTGATGTTGACTGGGATGAACAGTATCTAAATCTAAAATTACTTGCAGATGATTTAGGTACAATATTGACCCAACTAAAATTTCCTACATTACTGTAGGGTAGGCGAAGTCTGATTGGGTCGCTTTGAACACTAGTGATAAAAATTGATTATACTGCAAGGGGGAAAGTGGAGCTCCTTAAAACCTAGTTTACACATTCACTACTTCAGTGGAGGAAATGCTCAATTTAGACAAACGATTAGATAAATACCAACTGGCTTCACTATGAATATGCATGCGAAATGTAGTGAAATTACTCTAACCTCAATAAGCTATCACAGAACCAAGATTTAAAGTCCGCAGTTATCTAGACGGCCCTCAATTCGGCCTTCCAACATCCAACATACAACATCCAACATCGGTAGTGCGAGCAGAGGAAACTTGCAGTTTTGATCTCTCGCTTCTAGGTCTTGAGGCTTGGTTCCTTTTGTTCGGGCGTACTCCTTCGATGATCACAGTAACCTTTGCATTTTCCTGTTTATAGCTTTGGAGGTAGTGTTTGTCTATTTATCCAATATCCATTATCTTTTTAACGAGCTTGTGTAAGCCAGTTGATTTCTTCTTGCTCGCTTCTTGGTCTTGCAGAACGTTTCCAGGTCTTTGGTGGCTTCCGATGCAGCAGATCCAGCCACTCATCTGCTTTAGCTCTGATTTACAGAACAGGAAGTTAAGTGTCGGTTCGTTTGCCTTGGACTGTGATGCAGTTGGCTTCTTCAGATGTTGAGTTGCCAGACATTTGTTCCAACTGGTCGCTGTAGAGGGTTAGGGATAGTGAAGAGAAAACCTAGAAAGGTTTTTGTGGGAGTAAAAGGGGAAAGGTGAACTAATGGGGTAACCTGCTTACACCCAAGTAAGGCGAGGAGGGGTGCACAGGTATGAATAACTTACGTAAGTGAGGCTAACTCACGGCAAGTGGAAGGGATGAAAAGGGCTTAAATGGTTACTATAGAAAGAAAACTGGTCGTAAAGTTAAAATAGTTGGGGTGGCTTGACATCAGTTCGTGTTCCAGCTACAAGTGGGTAGACCGTGGGTCTCTAAGTGACTGTCTAGCTTCTTCTTGAAGCTTTCAATGGTTGGGGTGGAGACCATTTCTGCTGGCAGTGAGTTCCAGTACTCTCAGACTCAGAGGGAGAAAAACTGTGAACGCACATGAGCTTTTGACCTTCGGTGGGCTATTCTCTTAGGGTTTCCCCAATGATCTCTATAGTGGCCACTCGGTAGTATTCCTCCTTTCGGGTGACTTGGGTTTTTCGGTATTTTGTAAGCCATTATCAAGTTACCTTGTAACCTTCGGTAGCTTAGAGAGTATAGGCCTAGGTCTTTCAGCCTATCCTCGTATGGTTTTCGCTGCATCCCAACAACCCCTTTCTTGGCTCGCCTCTGAACTTTCTCCAGTAGGTTAGTGCCGCTTTTCAGCTGCGGTGGAGCGAAGACGTTATGGAACTCTATAGGGGCCGTACGTAGGTCTTGTAGAGCTTCAGGAAGAGTTCTGGGTTGAGGGTACCCAGTCGTCTACGCACAAAGTGTAGTATCCCATGTTTTTGAGGCATCACCTGGGTAAATGGAACTGGTGTCCACTTTCTCCGTCACCGTTAAACTTGGACCTTTTTCTGCTGTGGTATAGAATAGGCGTGAACCACAGAGATAGTAGGATACTTTCTGGGGATCAGGAGTGCCGAAAAACATGGACCGGCACTTATTTAGGTTAAATGCCAGTTCGTTATTAGTCCCCCATTCCTCTAGTGTTTTGAGGTCATTCTGTAATGCCAAAGATTCGCTGTGCAAGTTACTGCCCTCCATAACTTGATGTCATCAGCGTATAGGAGAATCGGAGAGCAGGTCATTCACGAAAAGGCGGAACAACAGTGGACCGAGGATTGCTCCTTGTGAGACACCGGATGAGGATGTTCTCCAAGTTGAGCAGACTCTGTCGGCTTTCGTGCAGAACTCTCTATTGTCTAAGTAGTTCTCCAGCCATGACAGTGCCTGGCTGCGTATTCCTAACCCAGCCATCCTATGTATCACGATCGTGTGTGACACAGTGTCAAAGGCTTTGGCGAAGTCCAGAAAAATTGCGTGGACCGGGACCTCGAGACCCCTGCATGCTGTCCAGTGATCATGGGCCGTCAGGAGGTTGGAGGCACAAGACCTACCCTTCCGAAAGCCGTGTTGAGCGCCACTGAGCGCTTGTTTTTTGTCCAGATACTCCCTGATAGGGTCATCCAACCCGCTTTCCACAACTTTTGGTATAACTGGTAGAAGTGTTATAGATCTATAACAGTTGGGATTCTGCCTGTCTCCTCCTTTGAAGATGAGAGAAAGGATGGCCCGTTTCCACTCTCTCGGGGCTTTTGTTCATCCAAGGAGTGTTGGAAGAGATTACAGCGTGGGCCACTTAAGTGCTTGCACATTCTTTCGACACAGATGGGTGGATGTCGTCACGCCCTAGGAGTTTTCCCGCGCTTAGCTTTGATAGCTTGTCGAGAACAACAGCGCGAGTTATCTGTATTTCGTGTAACTCTGCAGCATCGGGTAACGTTGGGGGCTGTTCATGCAGTTGGTATGCGTACTTTCGTGATGGAATGTTGAGCTGCGTGTCAACACTTCCGCGATCTCCTGTCCAGAGAGGCTCTCTCTGTTCGGACCTTTAATGACGCACGCTCCTTGGCTTGTCGATTTTCTCTTTGCCATGAATCGGTATAGGTTTTTTGGTTTATCTCGAGCCTCTTGGCGAAGGTGTTTTATTTGCGAATCGTAGCTTGGTTTGTTCAGGGGGGTTATGGAGCTGAGGATAAGATCAATCAACCGTTTCCAGTTCCTGTTGTTGTAGGCACCTGCAAGTAAGTGTTGAGCGTTACTTAAATGATGATAGAAAGGGGTGAGTGGGGAATGAGGAAAAAAGAAGTGAAAAGTACTTTTGAAAGGATAACTGAGACCGGTAATTACGTAGTGGAGAGGTGAGTCTCACTGCAGATACTAGGGTTGGGGAATACAGGGATGGAAGGGCCATTTTCTCTCACTTAATCATCCAGTAGTCGTTTGAAGGAGTTGACTGATGTAGTTGTGGCCACTTCTTTCAGCAGCGCGTTCCATAAGGCACATACTCTATGGGAGAAGTTAAATCTCACTCTAGCCTTTGCCCTATGGCGGGGTATGCGAGTGGGGTTCTCATGGGATTGTCGGTTTGGGACCGGTAATGTTGGCCTATTCGGGTGGTCCACTTGGTGAATGACCTTGTAATCTGTCGTCAGATCACCTCGTTTTCTTCCATAGCTTAGCGTGGACAAATTGAGTTGTCTAAGGCGTTTCGCATATGTTTGTCTGCTAGTCCGACAAACAAATTTTTTGCTCTTCTCTGTACCTTTTCTCTAGAATTTGCGTCTCTCTTTAGTAGTGGAGGGGCTATCGTGTTGAACACCCTCAGGTGTGGTCTGACGTAGGTTTTGGATAATATGAGGAACAACTCCGGGGTTAACGATCCAAGTTGCCCACTTAGAAAGTGCATTATGGCGTTCGCCTTTGCTACCATTCCCTATAAATACCAATAGTATCCAGTGTGTCAGAAATGTTTAGTCCCAGGTCCTTCTCTGTGGATACCTAAGTGACTGCACGCTTATTAAGAGTGCGGTTGATTTTCATCGCCTGTGGCGTGTGAAGATAAATCACCTTTCACTTCTGCAGATTAAAGCTTAAACCGTTTGCAGCTGACCAGGACTCCGGCTGCAACAGGTCGTTTTGGGGTACCCTAGGATCCTCTCCGTCGCCTATAGCTCTTCACACTTTGATGCTGTCGGCGAATAGAAAGATAGATGAGATCTCAGCGGGGAGGTTGTTTATGAATATTAAAAACGGGTGTGGTCCAGGAGTGCTCCTTAAGAAACTCCTGTTCTTGCTTTCCTCTAGGTTGATTGAACTCTGTTTATCGTAGTGCAGAATTCTCTATCCTCTAGGTATGCTGTGAACCATGCTAAGAGTTGCTCAGTAGTACGCACCTGTGTTAGTCAGCGAGCGTAATGCGGTGTGGCCGTGCAGCCTTCAAGAACTCGTTGCCCATGGGGTGGTAGTCTGCTTTTAGGTGACAGCGGAACGCTTCTGGCTCAACTATTGGTAGTGTCACCTGGCTACCAGAGAGAATATCACCTATGCGTGATTACTTTTACCTAGGCTGGGGGGTTGGACACAGATATCGTTCACCAAAAGATCATCGTCCATTAGAACGTAGCCGAGTGGTGATCCTTTTCTATCTGGTCCCCATTTGGTGTTTTCCCCAACCTTCTCTATCAGTCCTGATGCCATGAGCGTACTTCGAAGTTTGTGTTCGAAGGATTCGTGCCCGCATTTTACTTCACACCCCGAGTTGAGTGCCAGCTTGTTGAAGCCTCCAGCGAGGACTACATGGTCACAGGCTGACGAGGTGGTTGCTGAGACGGCACTCAGCGGTTGTGCCTTATGCCCTGTCATACAAAGGGGAGCCTATATACCACTACTGTTAGGTACTTGGTTTGGTTTTTGGTAAAATAGAGCCATAAGGAGTCTGGTAGTAAGCTGAACACACCATCAGTCGCTTCCTTGACTTTAAGATGAGTGCTAGCATATATAGCAACTCCTCTGCCTTCTTTGAACCGCCTTTCCTTTCGGAGCAGGGTCATGTTAGGCAAACGCATTTCCCTATCCACGATGTCTTCTGGCAGCCATGTTTCCATGAAGAGAATTATGTCTGCTTGCAGGCTATGGCATATTGTTTTTAGCTCCAGTAGTTTACTCCTAATACCTCTCACATTGCTGCAGAACCATGTTAAGAAGCTACTTTCTGGGCTCAGTGCGATATGGGGACCTTTTTGGAGGCTAACGTGTGGTTGCATCAGATTCTGCCTGCCAGTCTCTACTGGACCGACAGGTCTCCGTCTTTTTGCGCCTCTTGGCATCTTGCTGCTGGTGTGGCAGTATTGTTTATTGTACCTACAGGTAGCTCACTAGCTAATTCCTTCTGTCTAGTACTGCTTGTGGTGTTCTCGGGGGTTTCCTCCTGTCTTTGTGAGTTCCGCCATGCTTGACGGTTGAAGTTCTGTGAGTTCTGAAAAAACTTGCGTCTCCAATGAGTCGAAGGGACACAGCACCCTTGCCAGGTGTGGTTCAGCTGACGTGTTTAGTGATATGGCATCGAAAGAAACCAATGGTGCTTCGTTACCCACATAATTTCATTTGATAATTTCTAAGAATTCATTTTGGTGGGCGTTGAATGAGGCATTGTTATTGATTTGAAAGCTTTTCAACTTGTCATTTTCACACCCTTTTTATAGCGTGACTAGTAGTGCACTCTCCAA